TCTATGCAGCTGTAGATACTTCTATGGTGAAAGGTCAAGACATTTCATGACCTTTGCAATGGATGACCTAATTGAAGAATCACTGTGGCCTCTTTTGTTGTTCTTGCAATTTCAGAAAAGAAGCAATGAGCAGCCCAATACTTGAAATGCTCCAATTCCAATGCAGAAATTATTGGAGCGTTCCAAACTCTGACCTGTTGGCTTTAAAAAAATGGCCCTTGATTCAAGTCATCCATGTAAGGCTGGGTTATGATACCTGCAAATGTGATGTGGTACTTTGCAATTTATTGCACCAATTTTGTACAAGACTGGGGTGTGGTAATTTGCAATGACAGGAGCCATTTCAATCACTAATTTTAAACAGAATAATTGCCTTGGAAGAAACCAAAGGTGATTTAATCTGCCTCATTGCTGAACGTTTGGACTACGTTGGCCAGCCACACCTTCAGCTGAATGAATTTGTATCTCAGTGTACTGCACCTGAACTGGTTTAACTGCCCTAGTTCCAGATGCCTGTAAGTGGAGGCCTGGCAATCTCAGTAAGGTAACAAATGGAAGCTGAACTAGCAGGCCTCCTGGTGGTGGGCGATCAGGAAGCCATGACAAGTGTATCTGCAGGTATGTTTTCATGGTGTGATCGACAAGCATGACATCAGAGGACAGTTCAGACACTTTTGGCAGATCTGGCAATGGAACAGCACAGAGGGCTGAGCAGCAGGTCTATGGAAGCTGGGTAAGTCTAGTCTCTTAGAACTTGTACACTAAGTTTCTGAGTGGCTAGATTTGCTCAGATGACATCTTCATATCTGTGGAAGCAACCCTAAATTTGATTGTTTTATAAATTCATAGGCTGCTCAATAACCCAACAGGGCTCTCTGAGTTCTTCACTGGATCCCTATATTAACTAGTTAAATGTACTGCTGCTACGATCGAGTTCACTCCACTCCACACAACCACATGCATGCACACACTTTAAAATTATACTAGGACCGTAGATAACAATATTGTTGCTACAGTATCATCATATGCTATTTTTACACTTACAGAAACGAACATTAACAATTATCAGGCTACTTTGTAGGGTAGCACAATTCACTGTCAGCCATAGGTCCATCCCTTGAACTATGGCTACAATGATGGACTATGCATTGACAAGACATTTTTTGAAAATATTTACAAACTTGGAGAGGGGAATCACATTTTTTTCATATTAAATAAACCCTGAGTGAAAAAGACAGTGGAATCCTTCCTTTGTTGCCATTTTTTGGTCATTGGATGCACTTCTGAATGGAGGGATCATAACTCAATCCAGAGCACATGCTTTCCATGCAGAAGATCCCAGGTTCAATTCCTGGCTTCTCCAGACAGAGCTAGGAACAAATCCTGCCTGAAAACCTGGAGGCCCACTGCCATTGTGTGGAAAATTCTGACCTGGAGGACCAATGGGCTGAAGTTATATAAGGGAGCTTCTCTATGCTCCTTCTACGCAGAAGCATCTGCTCCTCTAACAGGGAAGGCCAACAAAATGATTTTAAAAGGAAATTTATCCTTCAGACAATGGGTATGTCACCCACCCCCATGACTAAAAGATCTGCGAATCAGAAGACAGGTTTTTCTAAAACCAAGAGGCCAAAATGGTGCCTGTACATGTTGCATCATGACGTGAGCTCTACAAGGGCTAGGAGTTTTCACTTTGCAATAAGTTGGTGTTCTGGGGATGTCAGCTCATGCAGAATGTTGCTCTCCCTGCAAATGGCAAGCATCTATGCACCTATGTCCAGTTACATGTATTTGCCCCTAAGATCACAATTAAATTCTGTGTTCCTGCTAATTATTTGGGCAATCTACAACTGAATCCAGCTTCAGAGATTGGGGCCATTCGGAATGCATTGGCATTAAGACCTTCTGGAGGGCTCCCAACTGATTCTACCCAAAATGGCAGCAGCCAGAGCCTACAGCTCCTCTCAGTATTGCATGGCCAAAGTTTTTCCCTCATGCAGGCCAAGACAGACACCATTTTAATTTCAGAGCTCCTACACTGAGAGCCCTGACACAGTGTGGGAATAAAAATGGCAGCTGTCACTCCCTGACATGCTGAAGAGCTGCTGCTAGTCAGAGTAGACCTGTCACCTCAAACCTGTTGCTCTTTTGATATATTGGACAATTCCTTTGGTTATTGGCCGTGTTGGCCATGGCTGATGGGACTTAAGTCCAAAATGTCTGGAGGGCACCAGAATAGACACTTGTGACCAGGATAAACAAGAAAGATTACAGCCAATCTAACTTTGGAAGTATTTCCCGCTTTGTGAAGAACCATTCCATGCATCCCCGTGAATATTGTTTAGTTTGGATGAAAATTAATTTATTGTATAATAAAATATGAGCCAATTATCTCTCCCCCGCACCTTTTTTATCTGCAATCAAAGAAGGCTGCCATATGTTTATCCAGGATTGGTTGACAGAATGAGCAGAGAAGCCATTATAGGAGAAAAGCTATTTTCGCATAAGATACTTAAACCTGCTAATTAATTTCCAGGTCCTTGAATTAACTGCTAGATTGAACTAATTTTTATTCTGACTTTAAAATGGCTTTCTGCTGTTGTCTATCCAGTATTAATAAGTATCACATACAAGCCAACAAAACTTTCAAGGATTCACTTCTGAAATTATACAGCTTTCTCCTAGCTTAGCCATGTGGTCAAAGTGTCTAGTTACCCCTTTCATCTGTGACAGTATCTTATCTTCTGCTTTTGTCTTAAGCACGGGTACTTCTTCAGTGTATAGTCTTCTTAACAATTTGAGATTTGAGTCACTCTTTAGATTGCATTTAATGTTTCTGCTATGTTCAGAAAGTTTAATGAAATTTTGCCTCCAAGTGACAATTACAAAAAGAATATATGAATGTGGCAGAAACAGTTTATTTTTACATGCAAGAAAGGTCTCCAGATCCTTGTCTGCATCTCTGTCAGCACTGAGACAAGCAGCCAAAAGAAGCCCTATCCCCCTGCTGTGTTAATAACCATTGCTCCCTCCCAAACACATCTATTGGTTTGTAAAGGCTCAGAGAGCCTGCTGTGTTAATAAACAGCATCACATTCTGCACAAAATACATGGAGTAGTTTTTGAATGTACCCATCTGTAGTTTTTTGTCACTAAAGCTAGAAGCTCACACCAATGTCATAAGCTTGGCTTTAGCTGAAAAGAACTCATGCAGCCAGGTGATGGGCTTTTGAGCTCAAAGGATGCTTCCTGACAGAGAACTCCTAGCGTTAATGATCAAAATGTATTATGCAGCTATTCTTTCTTCTTTTCCTTAATATATTTTTTCTTTTGGCAAGAAAAAAGAGAAGCAGTGAGAGGAAAACATAGGAGAGCAACAAATGGAAGAAAACAGCTGGGTTCAGACATGGCAAGCCATGCTGAAAACATCCATTGGAAGATCTGTCGTGTTGCAGGTTGCACAGTCGAGTATTTGTCAGCATTCGCAGACTTCCTCTTGTCCTGGCTCGCTTTTTCAAGGCTGGGCCAAACATGAGAAGTCCATGGATTGATGGATTCCAAAAGGATTTGTCCCAATCCTACACAGGATTCATGCAACTTAAAAAACAATTTAATCAGGCCACTAGTGTTTCCAGATTCCACAGAGCAACAAAAACCTTTTCAACTTAAGGAGCTGGGAATGTTACATTTTTTGCAAGTCATTTTTATTATATGAAAATTGCAATCCAAGGCATAATGAGTTGGAAGTAATGCTATTGAGAAGTATTATTGGGAAATACTTCTGGATAGACATGAGTAGAAGTGGTCTGTGAATGAAAATCAGGGTGATGTAGCATGCCGAGTGCTGGGCTTTAAGAAAGCTTTGCTCAGCCTGTCCAACCTACTTGTCTGGAATGTTCTTGGTTAAAGGTAACTCCATGCACATGGTTTTGGCCTCTGTGGCTTTGCTTCAGGTAGCTTACATTCATCAGTTGCCTTCAGGGAGCAAGTATGTTCAAACCTTTCAAAATGGTTATCATGGCATTCTTGAATATTTTTGGAATTCCTTCCTTCATTATATACTAACAAGAACCTTATAACCTTTTCCCAAAGCAATTCAATCCACCCTATTTGGACTCAAAATTGATAGGTGGAGGCTTATTTTAGTTTACAGTTAGACATTCAATCCATTCAGATAGTTGTTTCAGCAATAGCGCACACACTCTCTTTCTCTTTAGTATAGGAAAGGATAGAAAGAAAGTATGTCATTAAATTCCTTTCTTGGGTCCATGTAAGAACAGAAAAAAATACAGAAAATCACTTCCAGGAATACAAGGTTTGATCATAGTTGGCTTATCAAACACACTGGAATGATTGACAATAAAGCATAGTTCTATGTGCATTTTTGTCTTTTCCCAGGCAATCTATTTGAAAGTAAAAACAATGTTCCTTAAACCACTGCACATCTGATCACAGCAGATGGAGGACAGTCTTTTGTCCCATTAGGTTTTGGGTTACAAAAGTATTAACATTTAGTTTTGTGTTTAAGGGAAAATACAAAGTATTATCTTTTCTAATCTGAATAGTATATTAATTATGTTCTCTGACTACAAATGAAATAGATACGGGTGCTCCTAAAAGAATCAATTTCATTGCTTCCAGTAGCACTACTCTTCTCCAAAGGAAAAAAGAAGGGTCTTATTAAGCTTTGCTTTGCTGTATTTGGTTATCATGGTTGACTTTTCCTTTCAGATTGTGATTTAAATATTTATTTCATTTTATAGTTTGTAACTATAGGATATAAACTCTATGAAAATCTTGGTTCTCCTAATGTACCATATTTCTCAGAGCATTCAAAATTCAGAAATTACCTTCATCATTTCCCAGTGCACCAAAGTGACAGAAGTCTGTACCTTGAGGAAGAGTTGCAACCTTTTTTAAAAAAAAATGGTCATTAAGTACTTCCCTGAGGTTGATCTTCTTTAAAATGACTGTGAGGGATAGGGGAAGAATGAACACCATTCACTTTTTTGGTTTTTTATTTCATACAAAATACAGTATCAGATTAAAAATACAAACACTTTGGGTGATTATCCAGCTTTTCCCCTGCCTCATAGAGATCAAACCAGCCAATGGGCAAAACAAAAGGAAAATCAACAATTTGTTTTTAAAGGTAACATTTTGGCCAGAGCTGTAAAATAATGCTGCACCAATTAAATTACACCAAAATATATTATTATACCTTTGAAATGGCTTTAAGACCAATAAATAAAAAAGACAAATTCAAATAAAAAAGTCAACTTTGAAATACCAGGAAAAAACCCTTCCCAAATTAAATAAGAAAAAAAATACACAACACTAAAAAGAAAACAATGTGCAGTCAAGTGTTCTGCTTCTTCTAGAATGATAACATGCCAGTAAGTCCCTACAGAACATTTTCCAGTTTGGCAGCAATCAATCAATCTTTCACATTTGTACATAAGATAGCAGGCCTGGGCAACAGTCTAGATAAAGCTCAATTTGAAGGCAATTCTTAGTTCCTCCCAGGAGCAGTTGCAAGTTCCCTCACCTTTACTACATCAAGTGAATATTTAATTGAGCCAGATGGACAGGCAGTGTAAGTCAGTACTGTTCCATTGAAATAAAACTCCATTAGGGTAAGTGAGATGGGTCCCAACTTGGCAGCCAAGGAAGCAAAGTTTGTATAAACTTGGATCAGAACACAGGCCTTTTGCTAATGCAATTTTATCCAAATTACTGAATTGCCGTTTCAAAAAATGCACATTTTTAGATATTTGTATCCCTCTAAGTCTGCAATGCTGTGCTTGCCTGCTTGGAATACACTCTAGTGAACTCAGTAAGATTCATTTCTGAGTAAACATGCATTAGGATTAGGCTGCACATATGGTACTCTGGATAAAATTGGAGTTGCAAGTCCAGAGAGGGTATGTGGTTTTCCACCAAGTTGGGGTAGACATCTATTAGTATAAAATGAATATTTTCTCATCAGAGGGAAGATGGAGGGAAAACCATGCTTCTTTGATCAGAATTGAATAGTCAATTTGGTCCTTTGCCCTGCAGAAATAAAGCTCTCCTGAAGAATTAGAAAAGCCATTCTGGGAAACAAATGAATTAGTTTGTCTGTTTGACTGTGACGTTCTGACACAAATTAAGCAGTTTGGACATTATCGTGAGAAATATATAACATTTCCTTCTAGCTCAAGTATTTTCATATCTTTAATGTTCAGTTTGGCACTAGTTTCCTATATCATTTCAAGCTCTGAATTAGAGTACCAAATTCTGTTCTCAGTTAAAGTCATAAAATTGGCACATTGAATTCAGGAACAGAATCTTGGCTTATTATCTGTAGTTAACTGTGAGTGCTGACTTTTTTAAAAGATAGAAACAATCTGACATGGTAAGCTAATTTGATAATTCAGCTCTATTGACACCAAGCTGCTTGCTACAATATTTGTGACCAAAATGGGCCAACTGATTCTGAATTGCCCAGGCCTGTCAAACACATAGTGCCTATTTAAAAAGAGGCTTACATTCATGTGATCCAGTAGAACCAAGTGGTACCTTTATGGGAGTTGAAGCCTTTAACTGCAATATTTTAAATTATGTTCATGGGATAAATGTCTTCTCCAATTCAACCTCATTAGCCATGCAATATCAGACACAATACACATACATTCTTAAACTGAATTCCTCATGAGGTCTACTATCCTATTACCTTCTTCCTACTCATAAACCACATTTCTTATATTCCTCCTCTACATTATTTATTGACAAGGGCTCTGGAATTCTATGCTAAACCTCCAGAAGTCTGAAACCATAAAATTAAAATTTATTTATTTTTCTATACTGTGCAACAGCCAAAGCTATCTGGGCAGTTCTGCAACTGACCAAACTAGGATGAAGATGTATTGCATACATACATTTTCTTAATCTACCAGTGTCACATAATTTGCATAATAGAACAAGTGGGATTTTCCTCTCTGAATTTTTCTCTTCCTTTTAAGGGGAGAGGGTCTATCTGTTTTCATTTCTAGACCTATGCTGGAATGTTTTAAATGCGTTTAGATGCAACTGCATCCCATCGTTAATGATTCTAGCTGCCCATAAGGGAATGGAAAGAGGTTATGGCAATCAGCTATTTTAGTTCAGAGTGCTCCTCTGGTCCTTCTTAGCTTTCCTCCCAACTTTCATGCTAATTTCTTGTCCTAATCTGATTTTAGATGATCAACTTCTTTTTCTAGTATGATGTTTTGTACTGACTTCTTCGACATTTAACCTTGGCCTAGACTCACCCTTGAACTTCTTCCTGTGTATCTTGATTCTGTCAAAAATAACCCTTTATATTTGGATCTGAGCTTTACCAGAGCTGCCTAGCAGGACTAAGAAAAGTAAGAGAAATCTTACGGAAGGAAGACATGGAATACAGTTTAATTCGAAGAAATTAAGATGACCGTTATTTAATGGGTCAAGGGAAGGTGAGCCCTCCTAACTTTCATTTGCTGGTTCCTGCAGACTGGTGGTTATTTGGAAATAACAGTCAAGAAGTATGGGCAACACATTTTTTTCTTCACAGCTTTTCTCTACAATCAGGAAAGCCATGAAAATGCTGTTTTTCAAAAACAAATGGAAGATTCTCAAGAATCTACTTAAGTAGCCTCCACTGTCAAATAGATTCTTTTCTGTAGCCTGTCTATGGCCATGTAGATTTCCAGAACCTTTTGCTTCTTTTTGTTTGGCAGAAAGTATCTTCTTCCTTTCCCTCAGCTCCTCATCCTTCTATCTCTTCACAGCCTAAACTCTATAAATACAAAATGCTTTCTACTCATATACTAAATCCTTTTCTCACAGTAGCACTATCATCAGATAACTGGCAGTGCCGGTCATTGGTTGCATACATATGCTTGCACAAATGTGTGCAGCAGAAAGCCAAATGCTTCATGTGTGTATCTGGGGATTGTGGTCTTGTTTGGCTGAAAATCTGAAAAATGTCAGTAAGCATTAACATATGGATGTTAACTATTCCACCTGCAAATGATTTCTGACATTGAAAATGATTTTCTTTTACTCTTAGTATTATAGCTTTTCCAGTGGTTAGTTACCTTCTGTAATATAAATATATATACCTTTTTTCCAGTTTACATTTTGTCTAGCTCCAGCTTACAGCCCCTAGAACATGATCCTTTTCTGTCTGCCAGATTCCAGAGTTTTCGCTTCATACATTATTGTAACTTCTTTGGACATTAGGTAGTATTTTGATTGCATGAGCTATTAGGTTGCATAATGAGCATGAGATGAATTTTTCCTCAACAGAACTGAAGGATTTCTACTCACTATGTCTGTTAAATGTCACTTCAATAATTCTACCACCATCAGCAAATTGATAAATTGGACCAACTCCATCATAAAGGTACCCTAGACCCTTTCCTTCCAGCCCTGCTATCTCCCTGCTGCTAGTTAAGCTTGTTACAGATCTCCAGAGCTTTCTTATAGACCTGAGTGACATCATCCATATCTGTAAGAAGGGAAAAACTACTATCCCCCGTCCGATTCCGATAACGCTTCAGATACTGTGGTCGTGAACGGTTCTGAAGTCCTTGGAAATCTTGGATCTGAAGGACATTTTCAGCAGACACACAGCTCCTTATTCTAAGCTTATTCTCTTGCAAGTCCACCAAATCAAAAGAGTCACTGGATAAGATGCTGTCATCACTAATGACACTAGAAGGGCGGCTGTAACTTCGAGATAACCCCTCTCCTGGCAGTACTGCTTCTTCCATAGATTCCAGTGTTGGTGTGTCAGGGCTAATCAAAGCTGAATCGGTGCTACCAGTGGAATACTTGCTGCTATGTTTTAAAATACCCTTGCGCCGGTAAGAATGGCTGTGAGACTCTATCCTTAATGTTTCAATGATGCCTGGGGATGTGTCAATGTTTCCTCCCTCCTCATTATGGTCCAAGAGTTCTGAAGATTCACTCCGTTCTGGAGATGAGTAGTATCCAGATTCTCTTTGCTGAGTCTTCTTGAGAATTCCCTTTTTTGGCATTAAGGAAGACTGCTTAGTGCTGTATTTACCCATTACCTCCCCCTCCATAGCACTCTTGATGGATATGCCTGTCCTACTTAGCTCCTGGTCCATTTTAAAAGTGGACGGTAGTACTGGATTGACTACTCCTTCTATAAATCCTGCACTATGAGATCGATGTTCACTATTGCTCCTTTTCTTCAAGATGCCTTTTGGCCTCTTGGAGTTTAATTTGCATGCATTTTCAATTCCGGTTTCCTGAATAGACTGTGCAATGTCATTTTCCTTCTTTGACTTTTTCAGGGATCTCTGTCTCTCTAGTGTGACCTCCGATCCTTTTGGTTTGGAAAGGCACTTCATTTTGGTATCAGTTTCTGGCTGGAGGCCACTGGAACGATTATGCCAATCTATAAACCTAGACAGCAGAGGGGACTCGGAGTCTTGCAAGGCATCGCAATCACAAACACTGCTCTTATAGCCCCAGTTAACCCACCAGTGGTTGGCTATGTCTTCAATGGTTGCTCTGCGCTCAGGATTCACCATTAGCATCCATCTGATCAAACCACGAGCATCTATAGAGCAAAAATCAACCATTAAAGTTATTCCATTTTAGAACTTGTTCATTCTAAATCAGAAGTATGTCACAAGAATATCTGTCACAGAGTGCTACAAGAGAAAGTTAGATCATTAGCTTTTTCATAATTATCTACTTTTAGAAATGCAGATATCTGGTATTCCCGGTCCGAAAAACTGCTTCTATATTTTAATAATCTTTATTAGCTTTCCATATTAAAGTTGGTTTCATTGTGGACACCGGAGAATGAATCACTATAACCTGGTTCTCACCACAATGCAAATCAGAGTCTGGGATGTACCACTTCTGCATGCAGGTGGAAGCTCACATGACTGTTTTTTCTATACAATAAATACACAAATTTCTGTACATAGAAAACTAGAGATCAGGGAGAATACTTAACTATAATTATCCTCCCTAACATCCAGTTCTCTATGCAGTAGGAATTTTTGTATGTAGCAATATTATATCATGTAAACCCCCACCTGCAGGCTGAAGTGGTACAGCACAGGCTAGGGGTGTTTGAGAATTTCACTTGGACTGCATTTTAAGTGAGCTAGCCAATTTCCCAAATTAATACACAGCATGCAGTTATTCAGTTTTTGCATTTCTTTAAATTTTTGCAACAGTTGATTCAAAAAGGTATAAAAATGCATATAGAAATGTTTGTCGTAAATTTTAAAATATGTATACTGATGCATATCTTACATAAAATGCAGACAGTCATAAGTATTTAGTGAACAAATGGCTAAAATCATGGATTTTCATACATCCTCACTGTTTTAACTGACAGATTATTATATATACCATGTAATATATTAAAAGCTTGGAGTGGTTTGATGCATGATTGATATGGAGACAGAATGAAGCAAGCTTTGTATGAACACATGCAAAAATGACTGTCTGGAAATAGCCTTAGCCTAAATTTATGATCTTGGTGCGAGACCAAGGGCAGATCCTTGGCATGTCCATATTCACCATCCAACATAAGAAGCAGGATGCTTTTCCCATGATATTCTTCCCATTTTCTAGATGGTTCAGAGAAAAAAGGACTATTTCCATGCCGTATTACATTCCTTTTATTTTCAGGCGATTAAAAAGTTTCCCTTGGATGAGGGGTAACATCCCTCAGTTTCTACCCAATCCTAAACTAACCAAATTCAGAAGGAGTTTGTGCAGATATATTGTACACTACTATTCCCCTGTATTAAGTGTAAGGATAAGTGAATCATGTCATCTGTATAACCTTTATACTCTTTGTACACAATGTTTACACTATTAAGAGTTCCTTTCATATGAGAGAGCTTTCTCATAGTGTAATATATGCATGCTTTTAAACCCTCAGCACTTAAAATATTGTAGCTTTTGAGTTACTCCATTCTGCAGGACATTAATACACATAACATATTTATTCTGAAACCTTAAGAAACAGAAAAGCAGCAATGTAAAGATATTTTAGATGGTTTGCATTTTTTATTTTCTGAATATCATTTCTTGGAAGGGGAAGGGTGGATTTGGACCCTTCCTACAAGAAATGCAACAGTATCAGAAATAAAAACAGTCATTATCAAGACCTGTTGCAGTTTCTAAAGCCAAAAGTACCATTATGATTAGTTTCTCAGTCTAATATCCTCATTTTTTGTTGCTGTGTTGTCAAGCTCTATTTGTATATTTCTAAGTTATAGAATGTTATTAATGTTAGCTATGGAACCAAATTCTTGGGCTAATGACATTGCTTCCCTAGAACTACTCATCCTTTCCTTGTTTTTGATATATACTGTTCTAGATAAATATAGCGACAATTTGAACGCTACTGTGTATCATATTACAGCTTGTCTGAACAATTCTATTTGCAAAGGTTAATAGACTTTCCACTGTCACAGATCTAGCTAGAAGGAGGATGTTTCCTGAAAGAAATGCAATATATTAATTATAAGACATTTCAAAAATAACTTTTGGAAAGACATTTACCCAAATACGTACAGAAGACAGATTGCATTTAAAGAGGAAAGGGAGATATTTTGTTTGTCAAGTTAAGCTTGCATCATTATTTCTTTGCTTGATAGCCTCCTACAGCCCAGTGCTTTTGAGCAGGCAAGGATATTAAAGCCTTTACAGATATTAACTCCATGTTTTACTGTCTATTCCTCAAATCAGAGGAATTCTGCTTTGCTTGCCTCCTGCCCTAAAGTACTTCTGGTTAGCAATCAGCTGGTCAGTGCTGAAAAAGGAGGGGGCTGAGTACCTCAGCAGATTCTCCCTCTGCCACTCCTCTCTCATGTAAAGTCGACACTGGGTTGGAGACACCTTTCTGGAAGGTCGAGTGAGAACGGGAATGAGCAGGAGAATCTGCTGAGGTGTGCAGCCCCCAACTGGGCACTGCCATCCAGCTGCTTCTTGCCCTTCCTGCTCACACATGAGAGGGCGAGCAGAGGGTGGCTCTGCAGAGGTACACAGTGTGCAATCAGGCACCACTGCCCGACTGATTCTTGTCCCTTCTGCTCACATGTGAGAGAGGCTTCCCTCTGGCGTTCAAATGGGGAGGGCAGAGGGGCAATCAGCTAAGTGGCCCCGCTCCTTCCACAGCACCACCCACCTGATTTTCCCCTACTCTTTTGCTCAAGGTTAGATCAGGCAACCCCCCTTCTGCTCCAATGGTTCCCTCTGGAGCAGAAAGGATGAGCATCTGATCAGCTCCCTCATCTTCTCCACCGCCCTTCAAGGCATGAGCCTTGTTTTTGCAACAGAGACTGCTTGACAATCATGGTGAGCCAAATTTGACTTGGAATCATGACTATCAAAGAGAGGAACCTCATTCCTCTCCATGGTGCCTCCTGGGATAAAATCTGGCGAACCTAGAGAGAAGGAGACGGTGCGAGGGAGGAGAGTTACCATGATGTGCCTGATTGTCTGTCGGGCACATTGAGTTAAAAAAAACTGCAAATCATAACCATGAGCAGTTGCTTGTTGTGATGTGTGAACCCAGGCATATTTTCAAGTAAAGCTGACAGAATGTATTCCTAGCCACTGCCACAATCTGTGTACTCAAATTTGTAAGCCTGAGTAATAATGGGAGTAAGACTCTCTGGCATCCCAGTTTGCATGACCAGTCAGTCCTTATTCTCTGCTTTTGTCCAGGTTCAGTTTCAGTCAGTTTACCTGTATTCATTCCGCAAGCATTTTAAGACAGAGGAGCACAGCACTGAGACTGGGCCAGATGAAAAGCAAAGGTATGTAGTTGGGCGTCATTTTTGAGGATGAAAGCTGATTGTAAAGGAATATAAGGTATTTTTGCTAATCAAATAAGCCAGGAAAAGTAGAATATCAAACAGAATCTTAGAATGTCATATATACATATTCATTTGGATTGTAATTGGTAATTTTGTTATCTATAATTTGTATTTGTTGTATCGACCCCTTGCAGAGCTGAAATGTTACAGTTGTCCAGCTTGTGGCTCAGTCTCACCACTGGTTCTACCAGCATTCGGTATCTGCATTCATTTCCAGTAACTGCTCCAGGTTTGTTGTATCTGGCTGCTGAGAAGGGCACTAGGCCAGTAGAATCTAACAGAAAGGATTAGGAGAACTGGGTACATTGCAAGTATGGGGGAGGGGGTAGGAGAATAACACGTTTTCTAACTCTTGTACCCTCCCCGATGTCATGGAGTTACTTTTCCTGGATAGCTTTAAGAGCTATTGGGTGTCATCTACTAAGTAAGTTTTTACCAATAATGCATCAGGGATTTTTATAGCAGTAAAGTGGTTTCCTCCACACCTTGCATAATTGCCTTTTAAAAACCATCACTGCTACAATTAGATTGGTCTGACACAAACCAAAAAACTCTGCTCTCTATTGTCTGTTTTTCTTCTTCATCCACCTAAGTCTCCTTTAACCAAGTCAAAAGTAAAACAAGCCCTATTATTTTAATTTGCTATGCCAGATCTTTTTGGTACCTGAGGGTTGTGTTGGCTCTCGGTATTCTCCACTGCTGATCTGCCTGATTAGATTTTTGTGATCAAAGCCATCAAAGGGCATTGTTCCATAAACCAGAGTGTAAAGTAATACACCAAGGGCCCAGCTGTCGACCTAGACCAGAGAGACAAAAAACATAAAGGCCAGAAAAGTGAACTCCTGCAGTCTATGAAATTACAAGAGGAACAGAACATTCAGCCATGCTTAATAATGAGCATATGGGAATTCTATGGAAAATATGGCAATCTGTATGCAAAAAGATTGAAAACAACTTTTTATGGGCATCCCTTGACAGAGATGAACAGTGTATTTCAATCACAGAAACAAGACTGGGAGGAAACCTCAGAGATCATGTAGTCAAACCCCCTACTCAATGCAGGCTTTGCTGCACTGCAGGTGGCAGCTCCAGCATACCTGACAGGTGGCTATCCAGTCCTAAATAGCAAAGGAGAACCCACTACCTCCTGACGTAATCTGCCCCACTGCTGAACAGCTCTTGCTGTTAAGAAATTTTACCTTATGTTTATTCAAAATCTGCTTCCAAGCAGTTTCAATCCATTGGTTCTAGCCTGCCTTCTGAAGCAAAAAGGAACAAGTCAGCTCCATTTTATGCATGACAAGTAATTTCAGATATTTGAAGACTTCATATCTCCCTTTAATAATCACTTCTGCAGACTAAGCATACCTAGCTCTTTCAACTGTTTCTCACAGGACTTGATTTCTAGACCCCTCATCATCCTGGTTGCTCTTCTCTAGACACTCTTCAACTTCACAATATCCTTCTTAAAATGGGGTGCACAGAACTGGACGCAATACTCCAAATGCAGCCTGACTAATGCAGAATAGAGTGGAGCAATTACTTAATGTGATCTAGATACTATGCTTCTGTTAATACAGCCTAAGATTTCATTGCACTGCTGCCTCATATTCACCTTGTGATCCATTAAGCCACGTCCTTATCTCATGTACTAGTGCCAAACCAAGTATCCTCTCACTTATACTGGTGCTTTTAATTTTCTGTACATGAATGCAAGAATTTACATTTGTCTCAATTGAATCTCATGTTAGATTTGCCCCAGTGTTCCTGCCAGTACAGTTCTTTTTGAATCTTGCTTCTGTCTTCAGTCCCTCCTAACTTTATGCAAATCTGATAAGCAAGCTCTCTGCATTTTCATCCAAGTTATTTATAAAAATCTTGAAAAGCACAGAGCCTAGGACTCTGCAGTACTCCCCTCCAGGCCTTTCTCCATGTGGATGCAGAGCTATTTAATGCACACAATAAGCAAGGTTACTCAACTAGCTTTGGGTCCCTCTAACTGTATTATTGTTTCCAGATTTTACCAACTTGTCAATAAGAATATCATGAAAAACTTCGTCTAATGTTTGTTGAAACCGGGATATACTATGTCTAGAACATTCCTATCATCTACCAAAGTAGTTACACTATCAAAAAAGAAGATAAGAGGTTGGTCGGGCATGACTTACTCCTTTCATAACCTTGTTAACTCCCAGTAATCAACAAATTATTTTGTAGATGTTCACAGACTGTCCAATTAATCTGTCCAAGAATCTTGCCTAGTATTGACATCAGGGGAACTGATCTGTAGTTTCCTGAATCTAATCTCACCTGTTCTCCAGAAGCTTTCAGTTTACAGACAGGGGATCTAAAATAACCTGTACATGCTCCTTTGGTACCCAGGAATGTAATTCAATTGGCCTTGAGATAAAGTTATTTTAATTAGTTAAGTGCTCTCTAACCAAGGATTCTACAAATCCTTCCATATATCATTTGTTTTACTTGTCCCAGATTGAATACAACTCCCCTTGCAGGAAAGACTGAAGCAAAAAAAAAAAAAAAAAAAGTCAAAGAAATCCTTTTGTTGTTTTAGCATTCCTTATCAGGCTCACCTTCCTCATTCTGGCCCTTCACCTTTCTAACACCACATTTACAGATTCAGGTAACTCTATTGTGCTTTTGGTAATATATCCCTCATTCCATCTCTTAGTATCTCTTTTGAATGTCAACTCATTCAAGAATTCCATGTGCAGTGACAAATGCTTCCTTAAATGTCCTTTTTTATTTCTCATGAGAATAATCTGTGATTGCAGTTCAGTTTTCAGGATCTGCCATCCCTCTTGAACTCTTTTTTCCCTTCAGGATTTTAAAGAAAATCCCACCCAACTTTTCCATGAGGTTTTTGCAGTTGGCATTCTTAAAGTCCAATGTATGTATCCAACTAAGCTTAACTTTCACAGTCTTCTCTATCATGTATTCCAATATTTATGTATTCATTTTTCCCTAAGATTTCTTGCCACTTTCCATTCACCTACAGTTTTGTTCTTTGAACAGGATTAAGTCCAGAAGAGCAGACCCCCTTGGTCCTTCTTCCATTTTCTGAGAGATAAAGTTGCCAGCAAGACAGGTAAAGAACTTATTTGATGTTTCATTCTTTGCAGAGTTAGGCTTTCAGCAGGTGTCAGGCTACCCCCCATGAAAGTTTTATCATTTGTCTACATCTTCGGGTTGGCTGGACAGTCTGCAAGTTGCCACAGTAGTATTACTCTTGTTTCTCCTTCCCTCTATCATTTCCCAGATGCTGTTAACTCACCTCCATTCTCAGAATCATGAATTTACACAAAGATGCATACATTGCTAATATGTAACACTACTTTCCTCCCTTCCTGTTGAGTCTGTTCCTTTTGAACATGGCATACCCTTAATCAATGTAAGCTTGTGGTAAATTAATACAATTCCAGACATTAACATGTCTGAAACATTTTACGTTCAATCTTGTTTTCTCATTCTGCTTACTTCTGGGCCTCTGTAAGGTCTTCCATTGACAATTTCCGGAGACGCGTACAGTGGGCTTCCACAGAAAGTCTGAAGAAATTTGTCTTTCTGATAAAGATTCGAAAGCCCAAAGTCTGCAATCTGTAGAAAACAAATGTGACACAGTTATGCAGTGCAACTCACTAAAATAAAAGATAGGGAGTGAGAGTTATGAAAAAAATTGGTATTAAGAAATCAACCAGGAACCCTGGTTGATAATAACATTTAACACAGGTAAAAGCTGCTTCTTATCCTGTTCCTTTATTGTTCAATGGCTTTGTTCACCTATTGTTCTGCAGATTTCACTAGTATAATTTTCCAAATTAATTTCAGAATAGTAGCACACTGAGTCTGCCCAGCTTTCATTATGAAAGTGCATGTGCACTGGAAAAACAATATTGATGTGACTGTATGTATGGCTGCATCAAAATCCTTTTAATCCAGCATTTCACTGATATGCACCCATGCATTGGGAAAACATCAGACAAAAAAAGAATCTTGGTACAAAAATATACGTAAATCATGTCCAGATTGCCTTTTTGTGCAATTTTATGAATGTTTCAAAAGCATATGAATGAAACAATCATTGTCTATCACTTCAAAAATGTTTTTATACAGTATTTTACATAGCACTGTATCAATGGCTATGTACACATTGGTAATGTTGAGAGAGGGGGAGACATGAAACAAGGGTAAGCTGCAGCAAACCACACTTGCACAATGTTATGTAAAAATTTGGAAACAGCAGACTAGAATAGTGATGGATTCTCTAATGGTTCCACCAGCAATTTGGAGCTCCAAAAGCAAGGGAGAAACGCAGGTGAGCAAAAGCAACTTTTGGAAGCATCCCTAGTAGAAGTATATGTCACTACGAAGCAGAGAGAGCTCATTTGAATTAGTTTGCAATGCCCTAGGCCTTATGAACATAAGAAGGATGATGATCTAGAAGCCACTGACACTGTATCCTCTATATCACTTGAGATTGCTAGAGCTTGAAAATGGATTTTAGATGAGAGAACTTGTGTCAAAGGACAGTTTTGATCCTAACAAAGAGTAATGAATGGTTTTTCCGCCATATTCCATATTATTCCATAATAATGTTCCATATTCCATAACAATATCCCATATTATTCCATAATAATATTCCAGATCTAAGAGAACTTCATGCTTGGATCAAGAAGTGATTTTTTCACTTCATCAAATTAATTAATGATCCCAAATATTGTTGCTTTCCTCTGCAGCATGTGGCACAATTGGCTCCTTTGTCTGAATGGCCCATTGCTTTCCCTGCACTTAGGAGACATCTCAAGCAGGGGTTATCTTTTTCTGGATAGTGTAAACTAATTTGAAGGGAGTGCCATAGTTGTAGTTAAGAGTGGAAGGTCCTGCTTTAAGACAGAGAACTAGAATAGGCAACCTTCCAGTCCTGCAATTTTTGCCTCTTCATATTCCTCCATCACATACAAGACCGAAGTACAATACTGCCATTTTGACATGTTGCCTTTTAGTAATATATACTGTATACACCCCGGCTATCTCTACTATACTGGCTGACACATGTATATTTGCATTATTGTTCACAATGTAGCACCTCCGTCTGTGTTACTTCATCTCTAAAATGATTCATTAGCAATGAGTCTTTAAAATGAAGTCAGTATATCAGCCAACTTCAATTGCAATTATTCAGAAGATGCTATAGAGAAGAACTCTGAAAAAACCGAATTCTGTAAAATCTTTCTGCCTGGAATCTCACTGCAAGCAGCTGGTGTATGACTGTACCCCGTAAATCTATTCTCAGGGCTCACATTGCAGTTAATTGTTCTAAATAAATTTCACTTTCTTATCAAGTCACCATTACTATAAATAAGTCTTAAACTAAAGAACAGTAGTCTGCCAATCTAAATATAATGGTTTCAGTATTGGACCATGCAGTCTAGTTCACAGAATTAGCTTTAGTCAGTGGGGGTACCACTGCTAATGTTGGTTCAGAGACTGCATATTATCCCTGCTTAGGACTGTTCAGTATACAAACCATGTGTATACATGCATATGTTTAAGAATGTATACAGTTCAGAATAAAAGCAAACTCCTAACAGGCATTCATGTTTTCATTTTGGCCATTCAGGAAAAAGCATTTCTATGATGGCTGAGTCCCATAATCACAGACTGATGTTTATCAGCTTTACCCATTAAAGTTGTCTTTTTTCTCTCCCCCCACTATGGAAAAAAACCATAGTAGCCAAGATTCCTTCATGTTTTTGGCACTTAAATGAAGCCAAAGTATTAATTCAAAAAAGGTTTCCCAAAAAGGGAGGGAGTTGCTGAAAACCCAGACTCCGTATTCCCTTACCTTCAAGGGAATGACTGTTTCCACTACCTATAATAAATGTGATGAAATTTACTCATTAAGTATGAAGCTTGTACTCCCTTCAAGTATTTGGGCTTAGAGTAACCTGACATTGCTCTTTTACTTCTATTTGCACTAGCTGAGAAACAGGACCTTTTCCTAGTGACCTCTGGACTAGAAAACATAGCTGAATTATTGACAAGAGAGTACAGTGCTCATGAAACTCAAGATCTGCATGTAGAGTGTGCAATTCTAAAGACATATACATATAAACATTTGGTCACAGAGTCCTACTGATTTCCTTCCCAGATTGTTATCTTATTTCCTGTTTCTTTTTCCAATATCCTTTTGTTGTATTAAATGTGCATTTTTTCAGCTGTGGTCAGTGCGTGTTGTTCACACACATGCACACACGCAATAACTGTCAATTCATTAAAAAAAGACAACCCTCTTGGCTTTTTACTTCTGTTTGTTAACCTTTTACAAGTTACAGAAAAGAGTGTGATTTTCAAAAGCTGTGAAGAACTTGGAGAGCAAAACAGTTGGAACTTGTGAGGAATAAAGTCAAAGACCCACAATTCTTCCAGTTAATTATAAGAGTTGCTTCTGAAGGCGTAAAGAAGCAGGAATTTTCATTGCTCTGCTGTAACTGAGCATTCCTAGGAGATGTCTACACTTTAAACTGCCCAGAGAACCTCGACTATTTGGCAGCATAAAAATGAAATAAATAAATTCATACAAGTTTTGAGCTGTTTAAGGTCAGCTTCTTACATATTTGTATCTGATGCTTCCCCTGCATATGAATTAGAACATCCTACTATTACAACCCTCTCCTAATGTCAATACTGGATGGCAGCTGTAAGACAAAGTTCCATAAAATTCATAGCAATAGTTTGGGCAGGTAGAAAAAACACATGGTTATAGCACCTTTAATAGCTCTGTAGGAAAGGCAATTTTATGCAAACTACTCCTGCTGAAATTTCCTCTTCTATACAAGCATTAAAGATGCAGCAACCTTATTCTCTCTTGCATCTGACCACTCTAAGTAGCAAAGAGATACAAATCTTCACTACTTGAAAAAGTGATGATATCATACCCTTGATACCACTTTCCTACCAAGGATAGAAGCAAATAAGGTAACATGGAAAATTAAATCTGGTTAGTTCTTTTGCTCAGAGTCCTACACGTTTGTTATTCAATATATTCACCTGTACATTTCCTTGAACTGATGAATTTGACCCATCTTAAATATTTCTAATAGGTGGACTGCTTTGAAAATCAAAGACTGCTGCATGCAATGCATTATTAATGCACAACTTAATGGACTTACTTATCTTACCAGTACCACAGCAATTATATTAATTTGCAAAACAGCTCATTTCCAGACTCCTAGAAGTATACATTTACGAACATTTTAGGAAATTAGATCTTCCCAGATTTACTTGACTGCTCATCAGTAATTTATAATCCTATATGTGTTTCCTTGCCAACAAATATAATTTAGCAAAGCAGGAAGGAGAAGTCCTTTTGATTAATTCAGAAATCTCAAAAACAAATTCTAAACCCATGGTATCGATGCTGATGGGAAATCTTCTTTGATATTGAACACTGCTTCAACAGTGTGGCAAGTAAGATATAAAGGAGGAAGGGAAGTAACCTGCATTTGAGAAATGTCCAAATTCTGGAACTGACAGAGATAAAACTGCCTGTGTGGGGCATAAAATGGGAACAGACTTCAATCTCCAGTTCTGACGACACAGAATGTTCACTGGTATGGACATAAGAATACTTGTAATAGTATGCATGCCCATGTATGCACACCAAAAGACAACCCCAATCTGTACCAGTGGTGCTAAAAATCACAGAGAAAAAAAGAACAAAGGTAGGAATCTCAACCAGTCCAGCAGTAGGGGAAGAAGCAGAATTCCCAAATCTCAATATTACTAAAGACTTCTGCAGCTTGGAACCTCTACAAAACTTAACATGAAAGGGGCACTGCTGCAGTATCTATGGCCTCCCATACTTAGAACTGGGATATTAACTACAAATGTTCCATGACTATTAATATTTGGATGAATGATGTCGTTACCAATAATGAAGACACAAGGTGTTGTAAGCCGCCCCGAGGCTTCGGCGAATGGGGCGGCATAAAAATGTTTTAATAAATAAAATAAAAAATAAATAAGGTGTTTCATAAGCATGGAGCCAAGGCCCATGTCACATATGACATGTATCACAGCAGAGTTGTGAATCTGATTACATTTATGTCTTGTATTTATAGAATTAAGGTGGCATACCTGGGGTGACCAGGGTATACTCCCATCTAGGCATAGACCAGAACTAGACCTACTTTGTGTCACCAAAGTTACAGCATTGGGTACCTTCAGACCATGTCCTGGGAAATCTGAAGCCAATATAAAAAAGCCTGTATCATATAATTAAGCATTTTTTGAGCATTAAAGAGCTCAAGGTAAACCATTAATTTCTAAGAACTGCATCACATATCTTGTCTCATAGTCATCCCTATTCCCCTAGGAAGACTGAAAAGGTCATTCCCATGGTTTCACCAAGGATTTCTGACACAGTTGACATCACCAAGGGCCAATCTGGAAGCCATCACTGTGCCTGGAGTTCTAAAGCAATTTCCTAATGAGGGACATGTGCTTTGCTTGAGTTTACTTTGAAACTGGGTTTGCTTATTTTTCATATGTGATCAAAAGGGTGCTCAGAATGCCCCAGAGGAGGCACTTGAACCTTGTGGGCCAGGAGCTTTTCCATAGCCCCATCAGCCAGAAAAAAATTAATCTGTACAGTGATTTGTCCTGTGTGCAGATTCTACGATTTTTGTTATTAGTCCACCTGCAAGGGGAAGAAGACTATGTCACTTACCTCTAAATAAGAAAAAAAATCTGTTTAAGTAAATTGAAATTTGTTTCTACATTCTACTTATATACATGCTGAATGGCTCCTTTGCCCAAATATAATATTTCTTTCAGACATCTCACAGACAACAGAAAATAATTTTACCTTAATATTACAATTGTCATCAAGAAGAATATTTTCCAGTTTTAGGTCCCTATGGACAACTCCATTCTGAAACAAGGAAGTAAAGAAAAGAACATGAGGATGAATGAAAAAGAATTTGTGGCAGGGTTTAATATTGTATGGATTAAAGAAGCAAGCCATCAGGGTGGTCTTTGCATTTACACTTCAGTCATAACACTTGCAGCCTAGTAACTAGTGACAGGAGATATATTAGTCACTTGCTGTGTGGTTAAGGGAAGAATGACTGGAATCTGTCCTCCCACAAAGCCTGTAAAACAGCAGGGGAACTCTTTTCGGAACTTAATTCCAATCCCAATTCTCCCATCACTGTGTGAAAGTAATATATTCTTCCCAGGCACCAGAGAACAAACTCTCTCAATGCAAGTTAGTTCTTTCCAGAGGTCCAGTTCTTCCAGTGTGTCTGGCTTTTAGGCCTGATAAATTATAGCCCTAAGAGGCTGCTCTTCATTTCAAATGCTAAGGCAAAGACATAACAAGCTCTGCTCAAGTCACAGCTTCTAAAAAAAAATAGTTAATACTAAAGTATATAGAAATTGCTGTAGATTTTCTCTGTTGTAAGGTGGACAAGTTACGACTTCTCTCTCTGTAAAAGCAAATCTCATTGAAATTATCTTTAAAATAAACTGTACAACTGCTGTGAAAAAATATAATTTAAATCTATTATGTATCTGATTCACAGTTATGACACATATAGAAAAAACTTGTTAGAACTTTTGCAAATTAAACTCTTCTTTCAAATACTATTTGGAATTTTATGAGACATTTATTTTAAAAGTTGTAACTGTTTTGTGCATTTATAACTTTGATTTTTCACCTCAGAGTTCACTACTCGTAGGGGAGGGGGCCACATTCACACATGTCCTTTCCATAGTGATAGTTTGTAGATCTTTGTATGTGTTGTGCTCTTATATATATATTTATTTATTTAGGAAGCTTCTATGCTGCCCCATTCACCAAAGCCTCGGGGCGGCTCACAACAATAAATAAATAATCACAATATAAAAACAATATAATTTGAGTCGACCTGGCCAAAGAATAAAATAAATAATATTAACAATTAAAATAATGCTTAAATAAAAAGGTCTTCACCTGGTGCCAAAAAACAAATAACGACGGCACCAGGCGGACCTCTCTGGGGAGCGAATTCCATAGATTGGGCGCCACCTCAGAGAAAGCCCTCCTCTGAGTACGTATCCTCCTAATATCCTTCACGGAGGGTTCCCGGAGAAGGGTCTCTCCCACTGATCTCAAGGGGTGGGCAGGCATATATGGACGTAAGCGCTCCTTCAGCTAACCAGGACCCAAGCCATTAAGGGCTTTATAGGTCATAACCAACACCTTGAATTGGGCCCGGACTTCAATGGGAAGTCAGTGAAGCTGACAGAGAACTGGAGTCATATAGTATTTATCTGAAGCAATTTATGAGGGCATAATCAGCCCTGAATATATATAACAATATATGGAACTACAATGCACTTCAGGAAGATATATATGCATGTGAAACCACCCTCAGGTAAAATCCATAGCTCTTCAACACTTTCGGATGGAAGGGCAGCTTTATTGGCTATGGCATGGTTAGGCATAAGGAATACTGTGTACAGACAATGAAAACATGAGCACTTGAATACACCATTTATTAAACCTGGCTGGAGACCTTTGCTCACCTTGTGGCAGTAATGCACGGCAGAGACAATTTGCCGAAAAAAGTGTCTTGTCTCCCGTTCGTTCAGCCGTCGCCTCTCACTGATATAATCATACAATTCCCCTTTGCTTGCATACTCCATGATGATCACAATTTTATCTTTGTTTTCAAACACTGTAGATTAAAAACAACAACAAAAACTGCACTTCTGCTTCAGAATTAACACAAGAAACACATTTGATAACCCTGGAAAAGGGGAAAGCCTGTTGCTCTTCTCTTTAATTCCCATCCTACTGCAGCCCACATATACAGAGGAAAAAATAGTTCTATTTCTGTCTGTATCAATTTTACATATCATAAGTCTGTTCTTCCTATTTCTGTATTTGTTGATTTCTTTTCAAAGATCTGCACAATTTTCTATTTAATGTGCATTTTAAATGTCATTTCTCACAAAATACACGTTCTTAAATAGGACGGTATAGGGTTAAGGTAAATAAATAAATCTCAAACCATTTCTATATGTATTTTAGCCTAAAATACATGTTTTGTATCTACCATAGTATATTTTTGAGCTGCATCCCAAAATTTCAAGATGTGTAAAATCTGTGCATTAGTCTGTGAAATGAAGAACAAGAAGGTTTGCTTTGAAACATGAATCAAATTAAATCCTTAAAACAACAATCCTTATTGACCCCTAATTAGCATCTGGGGGTGGGGAGGTTGTAGGATACTTCAGATTCCCAGATCCAGTGTCAGAAACAAAGCTTCAATCTTGGGGTTAGAATCTGCATGCCAATCTTTTCCCCAACTTCACAGTCATTACAGAAAGAATAGTGCAGGCTCCTCTGAGATTACAGAAGTTATCTCAGAGGTTGGGTAAAAGGGATGTTTTGTGGGGAAGAACAGAAGCAGAAGCTGCCAGGATACGAGGTGGTACTTGTAATGGCACTCCAGCCTCCTCCTCTCCCCTCTACTGCAAATTGTTCCGGAGAGATGGCAAAAATTTCCTTCCAACTGAATTGCAGAGAGGGAAAAGTGGAGGGTGGCAGTGATGTATGAAACATCAAGGGTGCAATCAATGGGATTGTGCCTAAGCATGCCTATTCCACAGTGCTGCCCCAGGTGCATTCCACTGCCTTTTAAAATTGAGAACATCAGTCAGACAACATTATATAGTTGTACTTACGTGCCCTTTCTCTCTCTCTCTCTCTCTCTCTCTCTCTCTCTCTCTCTCTCTCTCACACACACACACACACACACACACACACACACACACACACACTTTCATCAACTAACTTTAATATTAGGGGAAAGCATGCAAGAAAGAGAACAACAGCCAATGGAAGGTGAGACTGAGAGAACTGAACGTGCTTAGCGCTTGACTGTTACTCACCCAAAGCAAGGAATTAAGTTGGCTGCTGAAGGAATTATAAGAATACAGTCAACTACTCATTAGGAATGTGCATTTGATTCAGCCAAAGTCTAAGCCAAGCACCATTTCTGGTGCTCCATAAAGCAAAGTGAGCTTCCCTCCCAAGTGACGAAAGCTGAATCTGGACCCTGCATGAGACTTCATTCACATTTCAGTTTCATAAATGCATGTTGTATTTTCCAAAAATAGTATCTTTTGCTTTTATTTTTTTCTAAATGCTGATGGTACAGCAGGGTTTGAGTGATGGACAGGTCCATATTCTAATCATGGGGCAGATTTTACCAGGGGTTCTGCAATCAAAAACATCTTTTTTGCAGGGGGGGCGGTAGGGAAGAGGACCATGAGAAGTACATTTTTTCAGTGCTACCAGGCTTCACTATGTCATGCGCATGCAAGACACACTATGGAAAAGCATTAAAGTGTCTTTCAATCAAACTCCTTAGTTCCTGCACCTTTCCTCCTGAAACTATACAGCTTGGCTAGAGACTCTATGATGTGTACTATTTCATACAAATTGCCCAAAAAACAATGGGGGAAGAAAAAAGAAGAAAATTATTACCCACCCGATGTAAAGTCTCTGCTTTCATGCAGACTACTATAGCCTGCAATTTTCAGAATACGCCTATAATCCATATATGCAAGGTATAGATAGCTTGATGCTTTCACAGAGGAAAACAAAACACAAAATGCAAAATAATGAGCTTTTGTGGGTTACCATATGAAAACTGAGAACAGTTAAAGCAATCTTTAAATAAAGAAACTGGTTACACTGAGAGTGGTGAGGAAATTCTGGCATTTGGGGGAAGAAGACTGCCTGCTGGTTTAAGACCAGGCTGGAAACTGCCTTCCCTGCCTCCCTGAAATACACACACACCATACAGTAAGCTTTCCTGGCTTAAGGATGATCACCATCAAGGCACATTGAAACCATATGGCCTGGCAACCAGCAGCCTCCTGGGACTTATAAGCAAGTCCGCAATGGGGTGATCGGCTGCTCTGTTCTGGCAGGTCGCTGTGGGATGCCATGCAGGTGAGGATGCCACTCTTTCTTCTTTCAGTTACCTATTTATAGTGTGGTAGAAGTGGTCCAGGGACTTAGGAGCTACTGCCTGCCCTAGATGAGAATCAGGGTTAATGAGCTTATAGATTATAGTGGCTTTTTTTACTCCAGGAAGGAGCCTGTGGTAGTTGGAAACAAGATTCCCTCTGGGTGATAGTCATGGGGAGAAGCATCTGGAACATGCCAGGTTACAGTTGATTGGTGTTGGGAATGAAAAAGTGGAGAAGTAGTTCCTTATGTTATGTAGTGGGTTGCCAGGCTGAATGCCCTATCTGTGATCAGTGGCTGATCAAAGCCACTAGCTGATTGGGTTCACTGTGTATTACTGGCTGTTAAATGGTGTATGTGTGGTTTGAGTGGTTGAGGATATGTTTGTGATAAGAATGAGTACTGGGTATGTGAGAAGTTCTGCTGCAGCAAGTTGCACAAAGAAAATTCAGCAAAGGGGCCTGTGGGAGCATACTGCCACCCCAGTGACTAGGGGCAGGAGGAGGGAGTCAGCACATCAGAACAGAATAGCTATATATGTTTCTTAAACGGTTTCCCTTCTACTCCCCCTTCATTTGGCTCTCATTTATCTGACAGCTCAAACACTGAGTCCTCCTGCCTTGTACTGCTGCCATGTAAAGACCATATCATCCTGCAGTACCAACACACTTGTTCACTATTTAATTGTGGATGAGAAGACTGGTTTTGTATTACTGAGGCTTGGATGGTTAGCCTGGATGAGACTTACCAGATCTAGCTCTGCCCACCTGGCATTTAGTGCAGCACTAGCTAGGGTGGAGGGCCAAGGCTGGAGAATTGCCATGATTCACCAAGTTTCCACCTTTATCACCAGGAAAGCACTCTATCTTGGAGTGGGCTTTAAGGGATTGAGCCTGGTGAGGGCCACAACGGCAGACTAGGCATGCTGCTGTCCAACATCTTCCCTAACCAGGACAGTGGCCCTGGGTGACTTCAGTTTCTATGCTAAGGCTGCCTCTGGAGTCTGACTCAGGAGTCCACAGCCTCCACGACAGCCATGGGTCAGTCTCAACATATGAAGCAAAGCATACCCTTGACTTGGTCTTTGCTACAAGGCATGAAATGTGGAGGCCCAAGTAACCCTGCTGTCATGATCAGATCATTTCCTGGCGAAATTTGAACTCAGATCATTACTTTGCTCCTGCAGGGGTGGGGTCCCCAGTCAGATGGTTTGCCCAAGAAACTGGTGGGATGCAATAAATTTCTTAAAGTTCTTGGAGTTTTCCTTGGAGACAGAGCTGGTGTTCCAGCCAAGACCTAGTCTCAATGTGGAGGGCGGTAGACTTGATCACACCTAAGTGCCTTCTCTAGTGTTTCACTAGTGCCTTCTCTAGTGTTTCATTCAAACTCCCTCTGCTCCTTGGTATACTAGAGAGCTGCAGCTGATGAAACAGTCTGGAGACCTGTTTGAATGAAAAATGGTGTAAGATTCAAAGTGAAGAAGCCTAAACACATTCTAGAGCACATAAGCACGCCTATTGTACAGTGATGTGGGCAGCAAAAAAAAGGGTTACTTTGCTGCCTCCATGCATCCCCAGGTAGCTGTCAAATGGAGTGGGTGGTCTGGGAACTACTAACATCCTCCATAGTGGATGGGGCTATGGCACCCTCAAAACCTTTGCTGCTCTTTGCAGTGAACTTGAAACTGTTGTTAGCAAAGTTTCAGTACAGGTGTCTGATGATGTTTGCTTCTCTCCAATTTGTGGGATCAGTTTCAGTTATTGTGGCCTAATGGCATGGATGAGGAGCTTGCAGCAGTGCAATGAACTATGTACGCTCTCAGTTCTTGCCTTCCCAGGCTAAGAAAAACTAGCTAGGAGGGTTTAACTGATGGGTCCAAAGAGTGAGATGTGCATGTTCCTGCTGTCCTTAAGGTAGCAGTAGTATAACTGCTCCTGTAAAGGAAAACAAAACAAAACTCTCTAGTCACAGTAATATTTGATAGCTACTGCTCAATTGCAAACAATTGAAAGTTGTTCTAAACCACCCAGAGAGCTTTGAATACTGGGTGGTATAGAAATTAAATAATAATAATAATAAATAAAATTCCACTGATTGAGTACAGGTGCACTCTTGAGGAAGATTCATTATCTAGACCCATTTCACTCCAGCTTTCATCCTGGCTATGGGACTGAATCAGCCTTGATTAACCTGATTACGGACAGAGGAAGTACAACCTTGTTCGTTCTATTCTACCTCTTATAAGCTTATTGAGGATATTCTCCTAGATTGACTATAGGTGAGATATTGGAGACACTGTGTTATATTGGTTCCAGTCTTACCTGCAGGGTTTATTTCAAACAATAACACTGGTTGACTATTACTTGAACCCCTGCCAATTGAGATATGGTGTTCCACAGAGTATCATCCCACATTCCATGTTGGGAGCAGGATGGGAGCAGTCATTAGGGTATTTGGAGCTAAGTGCCATCAGTATGACAGACAGCTCTTTGTCTCTGTAACATTTGTCCCTGAACCACTCACTCATTGTCTTTCAATCAGGAGAGACTGCACAAGTCCTAGATCAGTGTTTAGACCCAGTGATGGGCTGGATGAGGGCCAATAAACTGAAGCTGAATCCTGGCAAAAAGGCATGTGCCTGAGTGATTCCTGAGTCTGGAACATAGGTACACTGCCTCTTCTGGATGAGGTTGCACTCCCTCTGAAAGTTCCATCAGAGCTGCTAGAGTCCCAAGAGTTTGCAGTGGCTCAAAATGCCTTTTACTATGTCCACTTGAGTTACCAGCTACAGCCTCTCTTTGAAAGGGAAAGTTTGGCCACAGTGCTGCAGGTGTGTGTAACCCCAAGAGCAGATTACTGCCATATGCTCTATGTGGGGCTGCCAAGCAGGCTGTTCTAGAAACTGGAGACAGTGCAAACTCAGCAGTCTGGCTGTTGTCAGGAACTGCCTATTTTCAGAGTGCAACTCTCTTGCTGAAGGAAATGCATTGGCTACCTATTCACTACCAAGCCAGGTTTTAATATTAGTGTGCAAAGTTCTGAAATATTTGTGACCAAGATACTTGAGAAAGTTTTCTCTTACCAATCTACCCAGTCACTAAGGTTATTGGAATACCTTCTCCTGCTGGTTTCAAATAGGATCATAGTCTGACTGGAATCCACCAGGAGAAGAGCCTTCAGCACAGTGGCCTCATTTCTATGGAATTCCCTGTTTTAGCTGGTCAGGCAGGCACAAACACAGTTTTATTTTTTGGCATCTGCTAAGAAAGAATGTTCTGGAAAGGCTTCTTTTCTGGTCACCATAGGTTTTAAAGTTATCTTGTTTCCAATAGTTTTTACTTGTTTACTCATTTTAATGCTGTACTGTTTACCACTCTAGAACCTACTTGAAAGTGAAGCAGTATAAAAATATTGCAAATAAATAAGGCTTTTAGTTAGAGTGCTGACATATAGTTTCAATCTCAGTTTTACTGTTTTCTGCTGCTCCTGTTTTATTTTCATGTTATCTGTCATGGTTTTACTTAAATGTGTTAGTGACTACAAGAGACCTCTATCTGAAAAGCAGGGCATTCATTTCTTAAATAAACAAACAACTGCAAATAAGCCATCTATTCCCATCATTTTTCATAGCTGATATACTCAGTCATATCCGATCAGTGGCCCTTAGCTGCTATAGAATATTTTTACTTCTCCATCCACAATCTATTGGTTACAAAGGAAACAGTATGAAGCTTTCCACAAAAGAATTAACCTTATTAAAATATCCTTCCTGACCACATCAACAATGAAAACTCTTGCAATTGTTTTTAGTTTTGCATGAATGTCAATACACAGAGATATATCCTTGAGAAAAGATTGTGTTTGGCAGTTCTTTCATGATAATGATATTTTCTTAAAATAAAATAATAGTCATATTATAAAATACATAGTGTGAACAGAACCAGTATGCTGCTTTAAAACAACTACAGGGAAGCACCAGCAATGGGCTTTTGAAGATGTACCTCCTAACACTAAGACAACAGTTTCATTTTTAAGCTTTATCATATCTCTTTCCATACATTATACATGACAAAGTACTGCAGCTCTTTTTGTCTTATTAAAGTGTTCAGCAAGACTGTGTGTGTGAGAGAAAGAGAATGAGAGAGAGAGAGAGAGCAAGCACTAGAAAGCAACAAGATAAATGCTGGCTGCTGACTAGTGGATTATTGAATTGCTTATGAAGCACTGATCTGTTCCAGTGATTTCATCCTCATTAACAATGAACTCTGGAAACTGTGTGGGCATCCTCTCCAAATTTGCAAAATGGCCTTACTGATAACATTAATAGGAAAGGCTCCAATAACTGTAATTGTACAGTTTTTATCAGATCAGTGACACACTATATAAGCACAGAAGAAGTATCTTGCCTTACTGCAAAGATATGCTGGCCACCATCTGCAACCTGATTGCTCTACAGCAGTCCAACTGACATTTGTAGAACAGAATAAATTGATTGTATTCACTGATTCAAATGTTTTCATCTTGAATGAAATGCACACACTTCTATTTTACAGGAATTGCTAAAGAAGTAATAGTAATCTAATAGTATATAAGCATTACTAGGAAGTAACCTGTAACCTATTAATATCTGACCTTTTATCTAAGTACTATCTTTTGAGAGGAAACAGCTCTCAGAAATAAAGCGGGTATCATTCTTGGTCCTGATACTTGAAATCCTTCAGTTGGTAACTCCTACAACTGAACACTGGATTTCATACATGCAAAGCAAATGCTCTACCAGAGGCATGGAGTCTCTACAATTAGGTCCATGCAAGTCTTGTTGAGAAACACTTCCATCAGTTAAACAGCAATGTTCATACAATTCTATTTCCTAACACTGAACTGGCATAGGTTTTGGTATTCCCTAAAGCTTTCCATGAAATTATTTACATATAGTGCTATTTACTACAAATAATGAAGTAAATAAAGCGCGCTCCCTACTAAGACATAAACCCTGAGCTGACGACAGATGAATTGCTTCAGCATAACTATTTGGAATACTTGGCTCATCCTGCATTTTTACTGATTTTGACTGATGATTTGCCATTCTAATGCAATTATTCTAAAGCTGGGTCAGCTTCTAAAGTAGTTCTTCACAGTGGTTGCCACCTAGTGCAAAAAACACAAATTTAATGAGGAATGGTTGGTTGGCTTTTTCTGCTGAAATGGAATTGCCAGACACAATAAAGCAATCTTTGACTATTATACAACTTGGCGTCAGTGACTATGATGTATAGTGGATGACTTACTTGCATGTTAGTAACCTGTCCACCTGAGTTTTTCACCCCTTTTTCCAGAGTTATATCAGTTCTGATTTTTTAAAATCTCTTTTAGCAGACGATTGTATTGCTACAAGATACCTGAAGGCAATTCCTCCTCCAGGGTTGGGTGCTGTTCTCAGAATGCATAGGAGGATATACAATATGGCAGGTCTGTAACTTCTACCACCTAGAAATTTAGTCTTTCACCTAGTACCAAATACTGAGGACTTTCAGCTCTGTATACAATTAGCCCTATCCAGCAAACAACCAGAACCACAATTGGAGCATCATGCAGGACGCTGAAGTATTCTCAGTTTCTGGGCTAGTCCTATCCAGCCAAGCTGGCCACTAGCTCCTTCTAGACAGGAAGCCCTATAAAGGGCTTCCTCTTTGGGCTGGGATTTTCCTTGAGTAACAATGTTCTTCATGGCTCTGCTGTGTTCTTTGGCTCTGATTCTTGGCTTGATCCCTCTGCTCTGACTCTCTGGCATAACTCCATGCTCCTGCTTTCCGGCTTCTGGCTATCTTCTGAAAACTACCCACAACTCTGCCTGACAAATCCCGTGTATACTATTCCTACATTGGTTTCCAAGCTTTTTTCCCTACTGCCATTATTTCTTTCTGCCACCTAAATCCCTTACCAAAAATATAAAGTTCTTTGAAAAAGAATATTATCTTGGAAAAAGAATACATTTTGCAACATGAATAAATATATACCCATTTGCTTATTTTACTTTGACCACAGAATTTGGTTTTCCTTTGTGTAGCCTCTGGCTGAACTTACAAAACAAATAAATATTACTTGTAAATACTAGTGTTCGGTTGTTATTTAACTGCTATGATTGCAGCAGTTACTACATTTAATTCCACCCCCACTGAAATCAGATGGGGAAAATACTGTAGGGAAGGGCCAAAATGTGATAGACTATTTTGCAGGATGTAGTATATTTGCTCCCTTTCTTGTTTCTTAAACCTTTCCAAAAGGCAAATAGCTCTTTATGCAACAAGGAGAAAGTGTTTCCCTTCAAACAGTTAATAAGCTTACAATAAACTTTTATTTTTGAAGGGGTATGTATGTTATTTTTTATTCCTTGCTTCTGGCCAGCTAATTGCAATCACATCTTTTGGATTGGGATTTTATTAAAAGGATAAAGAATGTAAAACTGGAAAAGAACTTAAAGAAAGAAGTGTCTGAGCTAAAGAACATTTTGTAATATGTTTTCAGCCCATTATTCTCCATTACATCCTGTTCTACTATCATAATAACTCCTGAATGTAATCTATTTAACTATATTTAGAAATCTTGAAATGATGAGCTCAGCTTCTATTCAGAGCTCTTAACTCTGCAGATTTCTCTCTCTATCTGCCTGCTCAACACTCTAGAATTCTACTGCATCCAATAGGGCATAATTTTCCTCTTAAAAACAGGCCTGCTCATTTAAAAAGGAGAAAATCTTGTGAAGCATGCTGAGAACAGTTAATCAAACATTTTTCTGTAAAAAGATAGAAACTTTACATGTAACACTGAGGGCAAGAATGCAACCTAAGAGAAACAAATAAAAAAGTCATACTAGTTTGCCTAGGTTTCTTTACGTCTTGGCTAGATGTTTTACAACTGTTTATTTTAAAATGTATAAGATAGAACTAAAAGTAAACTAATGTCCTATTTTATTTCTGTGTTTTGGGGATCCTAAAGTGAGACTGAAACCTACAGTTGTACAGCATTTTTTTAAAAAAATGGACATTCACCTTGAGGGTTGATTGCTTTCCGTTTACATGTAACCCCAGGATAAGAATTTTAGTTTGTTGTTTTAAGAAAGGCAGCCAATCTTTTCACATTGGAACCATCTGAATTCTCCTCATGCCTTTGCTCTATATCAGAGCAATCTCCTAAATTAGTTCCAGTGTGTTGACATTCCTTCCATCTGGTGTCTTTCCATAGAGTGGTATTTTTATTACCCTCCTTACAGCAGCAGACAGAAGTACCTTTGCAATGATACAAAGTGCTCTTTTATTAAGGTCAGCCAAATAAGACCACTGAGTGAGTTTGTCTTTAATTTTGGGGACATGCAATAGAATAACCTTTTCTTTCACTAAAATCATCTGAAAACCAGTCAGAGTTCTTTCAGATGAGGCATTTTTCCTGCAGTTGCTTGTCTTCAAACAAATTATGAAGAGAGTTGGAGAGACATAACTTTCATTTGTAACCCTACCATGTTACATCATTGCTTCTATTGACTTTTCTCTTATGAAAAAAAATTGTTGAGGAGAGACAGTAGATGCATAGTGCATTTTTATTGGTAGTGGTAAGTGCTCCCTCTGTCTCTGCAACCACCCATAGTGAAAAGAACACCTCTACCCCAAAATATTTTGAATTATGGAAAACAGTTCTTAAGAACTAAAATGTACTGCATCCCATCTATTGAACTCTGTGTGACAAGATGGGAAATCCTTATGAGACTGGTTCAATTTGTTCTGGTATTCACAAACATACCACAGGAACAAAGAATCTTGGCAGGGAAATGATTCTCACTGCATTAATACTTTTTTTAAAAAAACTACAATATTTGAATACTGGTTTTTATTGGTTCTCAAAGCAGTTCACAATTCTAAAGTTACATTTATAGGCTGCTAACATTGCAATCAAAATGAGAGATACCATCAAATGTATCCAAGCATTAGAGAAGATAGTCCTATTATAATATTTTTAGTTTGAGAAAATTCCTGCTGCAGGAGAAATCAGTGAGTGTGTAAATGGGGCCTAGCTCAGGGAGACCTATGCTAGGCTGCTCTGTCTCAGGGGGCATGCCATCAATTGAAGTATTTTTAGAAAACAAGGCAAATTGCCAGATTTCCCCCACCTCCTTAGCATGGATTTCTTACAAGCAGCAGTATTATTTAGGTGTTAAATTATACTGAATGCAAGGAAGTCAAGAACTGCATAGCATGAGACTCTGAAAGCTAATTTACCTTATATTATTTTCATTCCTAATCAGTAAGTAGCCTCTAGGAAAATCTCTATTATAACTTTGGGCATTTACAGACATAAACAACAGAAGTAATATACTGAAAACTCAAAGGCTGAAATAAAAAGAAATGTAATTAGACAATTGTTTTTAGAAGCTATTTTAGTTAAATTAGCAAAATCAAGCCAAGAACAATGAGGCCAATCACCTCAATAACTAATATATTTGCATGTTTTGATGGGAACACTGCAGATATGCAGATGTCAGTGAAAAATCACTTGCAATTCAGGTTATGGATATTCAGGGTAGAACTTGGGTTGGGTCCTGGTTACCTGAAGGAGCGCCCAGCCACCCCCTGAGATCAGCGAGAGAGGCCCTCCTCCGGGAGCCCTCAGTGAAGGAAATTAGGAGGGTGGGTACTCGGAGGAGGGCTTTCTCAGCAGTGGCGCCTAAGTTATGGAATGCGCTCCCCAGAGAGGTCCGCCTGGCGCCATCGTTATTTGTTTTTCGGCGCCAGGCGAAGACCTTTTTATTTAAGCAGCATTTTAAATGTTAATACTATTGAATTTTATTTGGCCAGGGCAGCTTATTTTATTCTAATGTATATATTTTAATTGTTATTGTCTTAATTTATTGTTGTGAGCTGCCCCGAGGCTTCGGCGAATGGGGCGGCATAAAACTGTTTTAATAAATAAATAAATAAATAACTATGTATGGGTTTGCATTTTTAAAAAAAATTAGGATGGCAGTGCTGGAAACTCAGTTCACTATATCCTTCCTCATGCAGCTGGATCCAGGTTTAGGCATACTTAGGGTACAACTCCGAAATCAGCTAAATGTTATATTAATTACATGCTTACAGTACTGATGCAGTTGTCACTTGGCTTTATTTCCTACTCTAGAGTAAGAACACAGCCACAATATGGATTAGGGTCACATGCCAGGAGGGGAAGTCTAAACTTTCCTCTGCAGCACTTGTCTCCTGATCCTAACACCAACCAGCAAGTTTTGGATTTAAAAAAGCCAAAACAGTTTGGCATCAGTTTGGCTTTCTTTTTCTTTTTTATTTTTATTCCCCAGGCAGAAGGGACCAATTTCAGTCTTTTTTTCCCAACAGTTAAACAATTTCTATCACAGTCCTCTTTAAAACATTTCAACATTATTTATTTCGACATTATTTCTTTATTTCCCCATCTTTCTCCCATCGTGTTTCTCAAGGCAGTGTGCACAGAGGTTTCAGGCAGTCTCCATTCCAGGCATTGATCAGATCCAGACCAACTTAACATCACTATCATGATTAAAATTAGGCTCCTGCATCATGTACACTCAGACCATGCTCTAGGGTTATAAATTCTTTTTCCCCCTGTACTATTTTCCACATACATTTATAAAAGTATCTTTCTATTGTTCATACAGATTTTGTCTTGGTACAATGGAAATAAGATCCTTTTCAGGGGTGAAATTATTTTACAGATACCATGCTTCTTACAAATACTTAGGGTGCTTCTAGATGAGGCTTTTATTGTGCAATTAGCCTGCCTCATTCATGGAATTTTATTGATGATAGTAGCCCCGATAATATTGCTTCCCATTTGTAAAAGCCTCATGTTTTCATATTGCTTCATCCATCTTTATTCTTACCACAAAAAAAGCATTAAGGTGAGAGAGACAGGATAGCTGCATGATGTTTTTTGATTGGTAGTACTAAGAGCCATGCTTATGGAAGCACCCTTAGTTCACATAACTTTGCTGGTAGGCCTTTACATGAATAAGAGTCTGCGGATTATATTCTCTTTGGGTTTTAAATTTGTCTAAAGTACTGCCAGATGGGACATATTTCTGAGGTTAGTATGTGCATAGAATAATGTTTCCGGTGAAATGAATATAAGTCTTTCTTTGTGGGGGGAGATAAAAAAAGGGGCTTTGCTTTTTAAGTTAAAATTTATGCTCTGAAAATCAGAACACTTCTGGAAAAGTCAGCTTAATCCACCCAGTCCTTAAAAATTACTTGAAAGCATTTCCCTTCCAGCTGCAGTCAGAAGACTGCCAATTACTGTCCTGTGGAGAGGATGGAATTTCTTCTGACTCTGAACTGGGGGTCTGCTTCTTGCAGATAATGCGGGAGATAAATTCATTTTGATCAAGTTACAAAAAGAATTCTGAAACTAGAAAGCCCTGTTTACATACATGTGGATTTGGCCACCATTGAAAATGGGTGGTTTGTGTTGACACTGAGTTGACAAACGCAGAGGTTAATCACCTTTAGCCAAACAAGGTCAAAAGGATAACAAAACATGGATCCTGTTTAAGGGAAGCACGTGTTCAGAATTCTGTTATAAAGACCATCCAGCAGAAAGAAGAGCACTGAGACTAGCAGGACTCAATTCATCCGTTAGACAAATATTTGCCAACCTTTTCAGATGCACGAACTTCATTCTCATATTTCAGTTTGGGACCCATAATTAGTGCTTTTTCTTAATTGAGCCAAAATTTTCATCCCTGACTTTTTGATCATTTATGGTGGGGAAAGTAACGGGGGGCGGGGGAGCAGGGAGGAATTGACCCGATTCAGACAACACAACAACCTTCCTTTGTTTGTTATTAAGTGATATGCTGACTGTAATGGTTGCACTGTCTCCTGCTTCAGAATTGACTTCTCAGACAGGAGGTGGGAGCTGGTGGTCCACTTAATGGCACTGTTCTGTTCTTGAGAGGTGCCACCAAATGAATCAGGCAGTGGGGACAGGAGCAATGGTGCCCAATCATCTCCCCCATTCTTCCCATTGCACATGTCCTGTTTGTATTACCAGGACGAAGAAAAATTCTTTGTCTCCATAATGCAAACAGGGCTTGTGTCCTGTAGCACAGGGGAGAGAACTTCCCGTCTCTGCTAGGGCAAAGGTTGCTGAACATTTCTCTCCATTATGTTTCAGTGCAAAACTTCTCTCACAGCCACAGTGAACTGAAATCAACTTGCAGTTGTGGCTGTCAGAAAGAGGAAACCTGTTCTTTCTTCGGTGTTCCCTGGAGTATTGCCTACAAAAACAAGGGGGAAGAAGGGAAGAACAAAGTACCCACAGTAAGCCTGATTGTCTGTTGAGTTCACCATAGGTATTTCACGAACAACCATGGCTTTTTGCCAGGGTGGATTGTTGTGTTGTGTGAACTCAGCACTTCTAAGAAATTTTCAACTGATGGAGTGGGGTTTATCTAATGTATTAGGACAATACATTAGATCAAGGGGTTTAACATTTTTTAAAATGCTTGTTGGCTGTTCCTTGCAGCCAAGGAAACTGCCCATTGCTGTTTTTTGCATCAGCTCAAGAAGAGGAACTAGTGATGATCCTGAAATTTTCTGTGGTGTTTTAGGTGAAGACCAAACTAATCATTCCACTAATCAGCAGAGTCATGTATGATTGACTTACATGCTACCACAGAAGTACATACAGTCTATCAGGACTATGGCAATTCAGGTAAGGGGATTTATTTAACCTCCCTCCATTCCTGTTTTTGTGCCAAAATCCCGCTCTCCTTAATTATGAGTTTAAAAAATGGAAAATGCAATAGAGACTTTGTTTTCATTTTAAAACTGATAAGACTTCCTAACTGTAGCAATTAAAAAATGACTTTAGGGAGAAAGTGGAAAGAAAGCAAGCAAAACCATGTGCACCTGCACAACCTGGCTTCCAGGTTAGAAGTAGCGTATCTCCAGCTATAGTTTCCTACAAGTTTAGGATTGAGATGTGACTGGGTCCACAAATGCATGTCTGTCTCCACTTTTCACTGCACTCAGTAGCTTTAAGAAGTTAGAAAGCAGAAAGGTGGCAGAGTTGTATTTCAGAGAGCAGATTTCACCTTCAGTTTCCCAGACACAATGATTGGAAAGTTTCACTGTTGAATTAGTACCTGGCATGCAACCCTTAAAGGTATAAAAGTTTGAGCTGCTATACTTCCAGAAGAGTATAACAGGTCAAGCCTCTCTACTCCCCATCCTTGCTGCTTTTGTATAAAGAAGCTGCACTATTAGTTTGAATTCCACTTGCTTGCTTCTTCATGGTGTGTAAACAAGTCAGACTGCTGTATTTTGTTTCCTTGAATAATCTCTTTCCTTCAAAAGGAAAAACTGTGTTTATAAGAAAATATTTAAGGAACAATATATCTTAGCTGAATAAGTGCAAAGAAGTTGATGAATTCAAACATCTAAAGGTTAGAAAAAGTTAACACTGGGTTGAGGAAAGAGATACAGAACTATTAACAGAGGACTCAGCAAAAATCTTAACATAGATTCAAATAAGATAGTTGGAAAACAACCATTCTGCAAGCAGTTATTGACTGTCAGTGTGATAGCAGTAGGTATTACTTCCTGTTCAAACTTTTTATATTCTTATTCAAACATATTAATTTTATGTTTTAAAAAGGATTATCCTGGTGAAGAATTAATGAGGGGTTGAAGGAGCTATTAGCAAAGCATAACTAATGCAAGGTTAGTTAGCTCATTCACAGTGTGAGACAGGAACAGGTACACACTGAAGAAAACCAAACATTTTGCTACAGAAGTACTGGAAGTGCTGAGGAAAGGGTTTCTTACAAGTGTATTATTTTACTTTTGCTTGCCTTTCAGTGTACAACGACTTTCCAATTTTGAGCTGAGTTAGGCACACTACTGAAATCATTAGGCTCAGACATGCCTAATTCTGCCTGGAAATAGGCGGTTAAGTAGTTTAACTGCTTTAAAGAACAAGAACAAGAACAACATCAGGGAGGACACAAGTTTACAACAGACAGATTTTTGGAAGCTCCAACCCACATTCAAACATTTGCTCCTTTTGCAACCCACATGCTGACACAGCACTCCTCCCTTTTTCTGTTTCCAGATCCTGTGAAGATTTTATATAATAAAACAGTCAGATATTCATCTCCTTTCAACTAGCAGAACATGGTTTTGAATAGCTCAATATGTGATACTGTAACACAATACTAAGCAATTCCTTGTTTTAATCACTTGTATCAGCACTTATAATGGAGTTTCCACTATTTTTAACTATTTTAATTGATAGGTTTACCACTTAAAACTTCAGTTGCAAATTAAAGTATACCTCCCACCCCACAATCAATCACTGGGGTTGTGACAGAAAAGTGCTCCTCCATGGAAGACATGCTTCCTCCTCTGTGTGTCACATTTGATTAAACAGAAACTTGAAGAAAATTTCTCCTCTCAATTTGTATCCCGAGCCAGCAGATATTGGACACACCAGAAAAAAAAGATCAAAGATTGCATTACTTGTTAGCAATGAATGACGTCTTTTATTTATTAAATATGAATTGATATCAAATTCAATGTGAATGTGG